AAGCTTTTAGAGGTAGCTAATTAAGCCAAGTGAATCACTTCTCTCCTATTAGTCCTCAGTCCTCCCGTATTATCTGGTGGCTAATGCAAAAACAAAGACTAGAAAAGGCCAAATCAACTATTGAATAGTATGCTGACAGCCATGAGCTGGGCAGTCACCACTGTGAACAGCTCGGATGGAGCCAGGGACAGAAATCACGGGAGACTGGCTACAGCCAGGTTCTTCCCTTCTCTTTTCCCATAAGTAAAAATACTAACCCACAGCATCTGAGAGTTGGTGGTGGACACAGGTGTTATTTACTAATGTGTCCTATTACTAATTTTACTAATTTGCTAATTAACAAGACTACTGAAATAGTAGTCTTAATAATTGGCATAAAGACTGATTTGTTTTAACGTCAATGGGAAAAAGAGATGAACATTATTCAGTAAGTAGTGTCAGGAAAAGCAGGGAAGACAGCTGGGAAAAAGTAATCCTGGGTTGCCACTTCCTTCCTTGCACCAGCATAAAACCATAAAATAAATAAATACATGGGAATAAAACTGTTTAGTCTCAGAGTAGGTAAGTTATGAAAACCCAGAAGTCATAAAACATAAGACTAATAGATCTGACCATGAAAAACTTAGTATTTGCATATAAATTACATAAAAATAAAAAAACAATGTGATAGAAAATTACTAATTTCATTAATATAAAGATTCTTGCAAACCAGGAAATGGGCAAACATAAAGAGAATTCGCCAGAAAAAAATACCAATGTTCTTAAAATTTACAGTAAAATGCTAACCTTTACCCAAGGAAAAAACACAAATTAAAAACTTAGAGGACATAGATTTTCACTTAGATTGTCAAAGACCAAAAGATCAGTCAAGGAAATAAGAGCTGCCATACTGCTATTGTATTCAATTGGCCAAATCTATTTGGGGGCAAGTCAGCATCTACTTCCTGTTTATATACACTCGTTGATCTAGCAATTCAGCCTCTTCAGGAGTAAGATGTACAGTCAGTCACAAACATGTGGGAAAGGACTTTCATGGCAGACAGTTCACAGTGGCAAACTGGAAACAGCCAACCTCACCAGAACCACGTGTCTGAAATCACAGTGGTACCCCACAATGGAACCCTATTGCAGCTGTAAGAGGAACGGAGCAAATCTATCTTTTCTTGTATGGACAACCTACTAGTCCCCATTAAAAAAAAAAAAATCAAAGGTGTAGAGTCATACATTCATTTATGGAAGAAAACAATGTAAGGTGGATGAATATACTCATACCTGTAAGACCACCAGCAGCAGCAACTGGGAACTTAAGAGAAATATAAATTATTGGGCCCTACTCAGACCTACTAACTTGAGCGTCCGGGGGAGAATCAAGCACTTTGTGCTTTAATAGCCTTCCAGGTAATTCTAATGCATGCTCGAGTTTGAGAACCACAGTGCTAGCCGTGGTCGGCAAACTGCGAGCCACACACGGCTCTTCAGCCCCTTGAGTGTGGCTCTTACACAAAATACCACAGCCTGGGCGAGTCTATTTTGAAGTGGCGTTAGGAGGTTAAGTTTAAAAATTTTGGCTCTCAAAAGATATTTCAATTACATAGAGAGCTCTTGCTGGCACTAATTGCTCATGGTTTGGTCTGTCATTGTTGATAGTGAATTTGGTCGTTTTTGATGATGTTCTGAAGCTGAAAGCCGACAGACCAACTATTGGCACAATGTACCACTGAAGCCAAAAGAAGCCGGTGTGGACAGAATGTATTGAGTGTTTTTATTTTTATTTTAAAATATATTTTGATTTTTTTACAGAGAGGAAGAGGGACAGAGAGGAACATCGATGAGAATCATTGATCAGCTGCCTCCTGCACAACTCCCAACTGGGAATGTGCCCTGACCGGAATCGAATCCGGGACTCCTCAGTCCACAGGCCAACGCTCTATCACTGAGCCAAACCGGTTTCGGCTTGAGTGTTTTTACTCTTAATGTGGTATACAGGGAGATACTAGAATAAGTTTAATCAATTTATCATTGTTTTTATCAGTGTTTTTATGTTTGTTTTTGTCATCTTTATTGCTTTTATTGTTTATTAAATCAATTTATATATTACTTTCATATACATTTTACTAATTTTCTTTTATCTCTGACACTTCTATCGTAGAGAAAGGGCAAATAGCAATATTAAAATAGTCCTAATTAACTTCCTTTCAATGTGCACAAATCCACATTGACTTTGTGCCACTAGCTTTACATAAAAATTTGTCAAAACCTGCCAATTTGTTAAAAAAAAAAATGGGTAAGAAATGAGCACAGTGCTTCTGAAAAACTGAATTAGAAGTTTTGATTTACAACATGATTCTTTTTTTTTTTTTTAATTTCCCTTGCTAATTGGGAAAAAAGTAATTTTTTATTATTTAAATGGTTAAACCCTGACTGGACTCTACAACATGATTCTTAAAACAATGTATTTTAGGCCAAGATTTCAATGCTGAAGATAAAGCATACCTATAATGACCACATATGGTTTGGCACAGCAGATTCTAAGTCTGATGATAATAAAGTTATTTATTGAGTTGAAGTTTTAAAAAAGAGAAAAAGCTTTTTAGAGGTTTTATTAGAATGAGGCAAATTACCCTTATTATAGAAAGTAACAATAAAAAAACACACACAAAAAAGGCAAAGACGAGAAAATTTGAACTTTTTTTTTAAAAAAAGCACAAAATCCTACATACTAAAATTGTACACATCAAGTATTGGTCCAATCTTATATCAATATATTTACAATTAAACAGCACCATAGTTTTCTCACCTAGGTTAGTTAAACATGCCCAGTATTTGTTATTCAAAGTATATGTTCCTTTAAAATAAACTTTTGAGAGCTTAAATCTTCTACAAACAAAAAAGACCTTCCACCAACCATAGACTATTAATATCACCAAATTTACTTAAAAGTAGGTTTGAACACTTTTTCCCAATTGACAGACTTTGAGAGATGTTGCTAATCCAATGTGGCAAACAAATGAACGGAAACTATTTGATGATGGGGCAGTGTACTAAAAGCCTTCACATACCTCCAACTCCATATATTATATAAAGACTCCTTTGGAATTAATGCTGCTGTATCCTGTTGGATTTATAGTCAATTATCAACAAACTCAAATTAAATGTAGCCACAATGAATCAAACAATTTCATTAAAAAAAGTGTAAGTTAAAGCTCTCAGAAATAGGTGTCACGATGATAAATATTATACTAGAGGCCTGGTGCACAAATTCATTCACCAGTGGGGTTCCTCAGCCCGGCATGCAGGATCGGGCTGAAACCAGCTCTCCAATATCCCCTGGGGGGTTCCCAATTGGGAGCGGGTGCAGGCCAGGTCAAAGTACCCCACCGGTGCATGATCTGGGCCGGGGAGGGATGCAGGAGAGCTTCAGGGCCTGTTTGGCCTGTCTTGCTCAGCCCCAATCAGCTGGAGCCCAGCAGCAAGCTAACCTACCAAAGTGTCTACCCCCTGGTGGTAAATGCACATCATAGTGACTGGTTGACTGTCTGCCTCCTGGTGGTCAGTGCATGTCATAGCGAGTAGTTGAGTGGCCTTAGCATATCATTAGCATATTATGCTTTGGTTGAATGGCTGACCAGTCAATTGGATGCTTAGCACATTAAGCTTTTGTTATATAGGATCTAGCAGGCTATAGGAAGTTCGATGCCATTTTGAACATTACCTTTAGACTAAGTAGCAGTCTCATTTTGCCACTGAAATGAATAATGTGTTTCATATCCAAATAGGTGTGGAGGTTTGTTTCCCTGCTGCAAACAGCGTAAGTGCCTTCTTCCTCTAATTTTCCATCTCTTGGATTCTCAGAGGTTCAGTGATCATGTGGCGGCCCCTTCCCTCACTAATGGAGCCACCTTGAAAAGGCTCCAAGTTAAATATAATCCTTGGCAGCTTGGTTCAGTCACAGTAGAAAAGAATCACGTTATCTCACTGGATTTTTCAGTCCTCTATAATCGAGTCTGCGGATGGTTCTCAATTTGCCTCTGCTAGGTGAGAGGAGAGAGGAAAATGCTCATCCAGCATAACTAAGGTAACAGTGAACAGGAAAGCACTAAAGTATAGAGCAACATTTCATCGTTTGGTCTCACTGCTGATGTTAAAGTGACATCAGTAAATCTTTCATATTAGTAATTTATACGTTGAAATTTTCTCTAAAAGACTGGAAAATAGGCACAATTCTCCCAGGCACACAAAGAATGGGTTTCCTTACACCCTTCCTGCAAATTGGGGGAGAAAGAGAATGACTATTATCCTACAGTGGGAACAGCTGTACTGATTCCCTGAGTTGCCTGGCCCAGTATCCATGTATTTGGGGACACAGTTCTGAAAAGTTCCAAGCAGTGGAGAGAGAACAATTTAAGGTATTATATAGTGGTGATCTTCTAAGCCTGGATATGAAAACCACTTTGTTATAAATACATTTAAAAATACCTATGTAGCAAGAGAACAAGAGACTTTTCAACTGAGTATCAGTTGAAAGTCAGAGATCTGATTGCACTGACTAAATTATTGCCTAGTGTTCCAGAGGGTGCCTGCCACCAATGTGCTGGAAGGCACCAAAATTTAGTGTGAATGTAATAAAAAGCTGAACATATGGGGATGAGGAAAGCAATAGTGAGACACAATTTGCCAGTCTCCAATCCTTAATGACTAAATATTAATTAAGCAAAGAATTAAGATCAGAATAGAAGAGAACCTCAAATACTGCTCTTTCCAGTTTCCATGCTAAGAAGCTCAAGTTTTATCATTGTTGATGATTTCTGGAAGTTATAGTTTATTTTTATAAAAACTCTGTATTCACAAGGTGCTTGGTGCTGTTCCTTGATGCAATGTTCTATGTACAGTCCAAATCATTTAAATACAGCCATTATATAATTGCTGAGTATTTTAAAATAAATGGTTATCTATTTCTAACTGCCCCTCAAATTAGAAATTGTAATTACATGAGTCTCAAATGCTAGCTCTTTGTGTTTTATTAATTATTTTTGTTGGTCTCCATCACAGATGGAATTTTCACTGGTAATTCCTCAGAACGAAATCCATTATACGGAATTCAGAGCAGTGAAAATAAATTTCACGCCATGGAGTAGGAAACAACAATACAAAGGAGCGGGAGGGACCTGGGGACCAGCCAATAGGACCAGATCAGTTCTCAACTGGTGCTGGGTTTTGCAAAGGTTGGCTCATTATAACCTGTACAACGTAGTCCTTTGGGATCTTCAGCTCTTCTAACTTCATCTTGTCGGTGAGAGGTCTGCCAGAAAAGAACCACCGCTGACTGCTCGGCTCCACTCCCTCTGCTGTGTGGAGCCGCCTCTTCATGTGGTACACTGTGTCTGTGCTGCGCACTACAAGCTTGAGGTCTTTGCCAGTGGAAAGGCGCAAACGGAGCTGACATTCATATCCAGAATTAGGAGGTGGCTCAGGAATATCCAGAGTCTCTATGTCGCTCTTTTCCTCTATCATGTTGATAGGTGGTGCCAGGCAATAGACTGGAAGCTGGTATCTGTTTCCCAGTTCATCGTAGCACTCTGTAAGTGAACCTTCAGGAAGAAGATGTAAGAGTTTAATCTAAACAAATGCTCTAGCATCTCCTGCCATTATAGGGAAAAACATTAAAATAATGTCAGTCACTGTCAACTGACCATCAGTAATAATGTCCCATCACCAATTATTTGAATGTCTATCTTATTTTACATCAACCAGGGCTCTAGCTCCTTACCCTCATCTCTTTTAAGTCATTAAAGAATAAAGGAAAAGAGAGCACACATAATTCAAATTTACTAACATCACTAATGCTTAAGACCAAATTAAGGTGAGATTCAAATTGCACTGGGATATCTTTTCAAGAAAGAATCAACTGCCTTAAAAAAGCAAAAGCAAAAAAAGGATATCTAAACCTAATTCACTGTAACACAGCAGTATTCTAGAGTGGTTTTCTTATTGCCTAGACCAGTGGTTGGCAAACTCATTAATCAACAGAGCCAAATATCAACAGTACAATGATTGAAATTTCTTTGGAGAGCTGAAAACAGACTTCTGCTCATGGGCCACAATCTCACTGTACATGCGCGCCTGCACGTATTTTGTAGAAGAGCCACACTCAAGGGGCCAAAGAGCCACATGTGGCTCTCGAGTCGCAGTTTGTTAACCACTGGCCTAGACTCTCTAAATCAAAGTACTTGGCCAGGGCCCTTACAAGAAGACCACAAACTCAAGATGCCACTGGCTCATGGCTTATGTATTAATCTCAGCACAATTACCACAGGGATGACGGAGGTGTTTTATTAACCCCAATTAGTCAATGTTATAGAGAAGCTGTGGGTTAAAAAGGGAGAACAAAAGGGGTATTAAATTTATAACCAGCTAGCACTCAGAAGGAAAAAGACATTTATGGTTTAAGAAAGTACAATACTAATGACTAATTTTTTAATAAAGCATGAACTGCTTTATAATGATTAGGTCTTCTCCTTAGGGGAAGCTTGAAAGCATGCTTAATAAATGTTTTATTGTAAGGTTACTCATAATGTGTCCTTTACGCAAACTGAAACATTAATGTTAGCTGATTTTCAATTTGGGTAAAAAACATCTACCATACTCAAAACACTTAAATACAAGCTAATAAATATGGGGAGTGGAACACTGAGAAATGGTTATCAATGAACAAATGAGTTAATAAGCTGATCTTTATGGTCACTATCAACAGACTGAAAATACAAAGCATTAGAAATGAGACCTCAACAGTCACCAGCCCACCATGGGTTCCATCAGGTCTGTCTTCTCGTTATGTAAAACTAGAGGCCCAAAACTCATGCATGAGGGGAGTGGGGTGTGTCCCTCAGCCCAGCCTGCACCCGCTCTAATCTGGGACCCCACAACTGCTGCTCCTCTCACAATCCAGGACTGCTGGCTCCCAACTGCTCACCTGCCTGCCTTCCTAATTGCCCCTAACCGCTTCTGGCTGCCAGCCTGATCATCCCCTAACCACTCCCTTGCCAGCCTGATTGCCCCTAACTGCCCTCCCCTGCAGGCCTGGTCACCCCTAACTGCCCTCCCCTGAAGGCCTGGTCACCCCTAACTGCCCTCCCCTGCAGGCCTGGTTACCCCCTAACTGCCCTCCCCTGCAGACATGGTACCGAGAACCAATTCCAACATGTAATAATTAAAGAGTTCTGTCACAAGGTTGATGGGACTTGGGTGGCTCAACAAGGGTGAACCACATATGTAATTTACCTGTTGGAAATGGCTAAATGGTACTTCCCCCAAAACTGAATAGGACAATTGTTAACTGTCAGACAGCTCAGGGCATTTTATTGACACCTGTTGGTCAAACATCTGAACAGCTGTAGGCTATTCCCCAAACTGATAATGCTTCTGTAGTCTACCCTTTGATAACTTACCTTTTGAAGTGTATTATCTCCACCTTGCCTTAGGATAAACTGTGTGAATAAAAGCACTGCACGTGCTCCAGGAAGGGTCTTCTAGCTCCTTCAGCTGAAGCTCCTCTGACCCCCAATGCCTTTCAAAAATATCATGCGTCTTTGGACTCCTTCTTAATCAGCTATGTGCAGCCCCTTTCTCCAGAATGCTGAACCCTTTGTAAGGCTGGGGAAAGAACCCTGGCATTATGATGCCCTAACGAGGGACACCAACACCTGGTCCCCCTCAACTGCCCTCCTCTGCAAGCCTGGTCCTTCTCAACTGCCTTCCCCTGCTGGCCATCTTGTGGCAGCCATCTTATGTCCACCTTATGTCCATCTTATGGGGGCAGCCATCTTGTGTGTTGGAGTGATGATCAATTTGCATATTACTCTTTTATTATATAGGATAGGATGAGCTGGGGTGAGAAAGTAAGAGGGCAGTTAAGACACCATGCATAACATACATGTTTGTCCCCTTTCTTCTTTTTTAACAACATTACTCAGCCTGTGCTGTTCACTAATGAATCTGAATATTGCTATTACACCATAGAAATGGATATACTCCAAGCACAGTTGTGATCACTAGCAGTTCCCCACACTAGAAACTAGTAACCATCACATTACAGTAACAACCTATATACAATATATAAAAGGCTAAGTGTCCGTTTGTCCAACTGGTAGCTATGACATGCGCTGACCATCAGGGGGCAGATGCTTAATGCAGGAGCTGCCATGACATGCACTGAACACCAGGGGCAGATGCTCAATGCAGGAACTGCTGTGACACACACAGACCATTTAAAAATAAATGGCACCATGGACCTGGCACTCACAAACCAACACTCGGCTTCCCCCAGGTGGGACACAAGCCCTGCCACCACCCTGGAGCAACACCCCACCAAATTGTAGCCAATGCTGCCAAGACCCCATGGCACAAAATGTAGCCACTGCCCAGCCAGGAAACGGCTGAAGTGGGCACTGGGTAATGACATCACATAGCAACGCCCAGCTTCCTCTCCTTAGAGATTAGCCTCCTTGGATTTTCTTAAGTCCAGAAACCCAACCTGCTTTATAGCCAGCTGCAAACGTTTTACAGTTTCATCAAATGTTTGTGAAGCATTTTCACGTGCCTCATCTCATTAAAGTAAATCTAAAGAGGGGGAAATCCAGACCATAAAGTCAAATATGATTTCATTTTATGGTTATCCTCTCCCCAAATTAAATATCCAGGGTCATAAATTATCAATAAAAATAATCTGTGAAGTTGGACAAGCAATGTTTTGATACATGGGACCCAACCAACTGACCCACACCAGTCAGGGCAAAAAGTTTATTGGAATCAGAGTTCATTCAGAAAATTAATGGAAATTTAGAAAATTGGGAAAGACAGTTAAATACCTTTTATTTTAAAAAGTGTAAAAGGACATAAAGCGGATGATTAAAAGGCCCGGTACCTCTGAAAATATAAACAAAAGAAGATAATGAAAAAGGAACAATGAAAGTACAATATAATAAAAATAGGAAACACTGCTTACAACAGCTGAATATATATACATTAGAGGCCCGGTGCACTGGAAGGGGGTATTGGGGGGGTGTCCCTCAGCCTGACCTGTGCCGCCTTCTGGTCCGGGAGCCCTCGGGGGATGTTCGGCTGCAGTCCAGGATCCCTTGCTCCTTACCACCTAGCTGCTTGCTGCTCCTTAGCTCTAGCTGAGCAGTGCTCACCTGTGGGAACGCACTGACCACCAGGGGGCAGCTTCTGTGCTGAGTGTCTGCCCTGTGGTGATCAGTGAGCATCACAGCGACCAGTGCTGTTCCACCATGATGGTTACTTAGACTTGTATTATCTACCAGAAGTCCAATGCATTGAATCTGTGCATGGGGTGTGTGGTGGGGAAGGCCTCAGCCTGGCCTGCACCCTCTAGCAATTCAGGACCCCTTGGGAGATGTCCAACTGCTAGTTTAGGCCCAAAGGGATCAGGCCTAAACTGGCAGTCAGACATCCCTCTCCTAATCTGGGACCACTGGCTCCTAACTGCTCGCCTGCCTGCCTGCTCGCCCCTAACCACTGTGCCTGCCTGCCTAACCGCCCCTAACCACCTCTGCCGCCTCGGCTCCATCCGGAAGGTTGTTGGCTGTCAGGTCTAATTAGCATATTAATAAAAGCATAATATGCTAGACTGGACGTCTTTCCAGATCACCTTCTGGATGAAGCTGGGGCTGCAAGAGAAGCCTGGGTCCTGGGTGTCAGAGGGGAACTGGTGCTGGCAGCCAGGGAAGGAAGGTCTACTTTTGCATGAATTTAGTGCATTGGGCGCATATATATGTATATACATATATATGTGCGTGCGTGCGTGCGTGCGTGTGTGTGTGTGTGTGTGTGTGTGTGTATGTATGGCTAAAGGAACTTGGAAAAATATTCACTTGAAAAACTGAAGGGAAAAATAAGTTTATAAATATAAAAATAAAAATCTACACCTAAATCTTATATAGCATAAGCATTTTTGCATCTAATCAAGGAGACCGAGCAAAAGGATGTGCATGGGTCCAGTATATGTGTGTGTCTGGAAAATATTCAAAGCTTTCACATTCCATGTCCGATTGGTGTGGCTCAGCAGTTGAGCATCAACCCAGAAACCAAGAGGTCACCAGTTCAATTCCAGGTCAAGGTACATGCCCGTGTTGCAGGCTCAATCTCCAGCAGGGGTGTGTACAGGAGGCAGCTGATAGATAATGTTCCTCTTTTATCCAATATTTCTCTCTCTCTAACCCTCTCTCTTCCCCTCTCTAAAAATAAAAAAAACGTATTTAAAAAAACACACACACAAAAAAACAAAAAACGGCTTTCACTTTCCTAAGCAAAGGTTTCTAATAATGCTCAGAGCTGCAATCACAGACACTGTCCTTAGGATCACTTCTAAATATATGCTAAAAATAGTCTTGATGAGAAGGTATGACTAAAGAAGCATCCACAGAGTCCCTATGACTTCTGAGATCTACATCTGAGACTGCCATTTTTGTGCAGGTGAAAACCAGTGAAGTAGAAGCTCTAGGAAAGTGGGACCTTGATAGAGGACTAGGTTGTATGAAAGCTAGAAAATACAGCCGGGACTGGTTTGGCTCAATGATAGAGCATCGGCGTGGGGACTGAAGGGTCCCGGGTTCGATTCCGGTCAAGGGCATGTACCTTGGTTGCGGGCATATCCCCAGTAGGGGGTGTGCAAGAGGCAGCTGATCGATGACTCACTCTCATCGATGTTTCTAACTCTCTATCTCTCTCCCTTCCTCCCTGTATAAAATCAATAAAAAATATATTTAAAAAAGAAGAAAAAAAAAGAAAAACAAGAAAGCTAGAAAATACAAGCTAATAAGGGAACAACAGTTCTATTTCTTGAGATTAAAAGTATTTTCAAATTAGAATGTAGACATATCAAGTAAACCTATCTCTAGTTAAACATATACAAAGAAGCACAGAGAAATGCTCCCTTAGGGGAAAAAAGGTGGAATAATGCATTGCAGGTAAATGAACACTTCCCGTTTGGTTTGTTATTATTAGACAGGAGCCCACTGGGTCCCGCTGTCCTTGAGGACCACCTACCGTGTGGTAACGTTATGTTTGCACCATCGATGATTGCTTGTGCCAGTTCATGATCATTGCTCTCAAAAGCATGCGCTGCAGCCTTCAAGGCATCCCAAATCTCTTTACGGCCTTCAAAAGCTGGTGCAGTATCCCAAAATTCATCCCTTTTGCTGCGCAGCTGTCCATCTGTCATGGGGTAATCGCTTTTCCATTTGGGTTTCTCCTTTTTCAAAGGCTGGTTGCGACCTAAAGCAACTGAGAATAAAAGGCTAACATCAAAACCAAAATTTACAAAAGATGTATGTGTTCAAAATTATCTGGTCATTCCCCTTTGATTCTTTTACCAAATTATAGTTAGAAGTTTGCCTACTAGCTAATTCTTGCATTCTAAAATTCCCCTAACCTAATTTAGAACGATAAGAGCAAATGGAGACATTAGATGGCTCAACCCAAAACTTCCAGTGACAAGTTCGGAGTTCTTTTCTACGTGGTATGCCTCTTTCAAAGGATGATTTAAAAATTACCTAGAAAAACAGTATCAAGTGTTTCACGGGACAATAAGGACAGGATTTAAAAGGAGTTTATTTAGCCGAAGCCGGTTTGGCTCAGTGGTGGAGCGTCGGTCTGCGGACTGAAGGGTCCCAGGTTCGATTCCGGTCAAGGGCATGTGCCTTTGTTGCGGGCACATCCCCAGTGGGGGGGGTGCAAGAGGCAGCTGATCAATGACTCTCTCTCATCGATGTTTCTAACTCTGTATCTGTCTCCCTTCCTCTCTGTACAAAATCAATAAAATATATTTTAAAAAAAAAATAAAAAAAATAAAATAAAAGGAGTTTATTTAGCTGGTTGGATTAGCAGATAAAACGTTGGCCTGTGGAATGGGGGATAGGGGTGGGAGGGGGGGTCCCAGGTTTGATTCCGGTCAAGGACATATGCCTGGATTGCGGGCTTGATCCCAAGTAGGGAGTGTGCAGGAGGCAGCAAATACATGATTCTCTCTCATCACTGATGTTTCTATCTCTCTCTCCCTCTTTCTCTCTGAAATTAATTTATATATTTTTAAAATTAAAAGAGTTAAAGGGTGCCACAAAAGAGAGATACCTTAAGATGTAAGATACTAGGGAAAACCAAATGGCAACAGTAGCTTGAATGTCACAACCCCTGGACTTACGAAGCCAGTAAATAGGAACTTCTGAGAAATGGCAGAGGGAAAAGACTGCTTTGTGGTGAGAGAAGGACAACTAAACTACCAGCTGCACGAGGAAACCCCTCTTGGGACTTCAATCAAGGAGCTGTTGAGTGCCCTGCTCTGAAATTCACACAGGAGCCAATTTAGAAAGGGGTGACAAAAGGGGGCAGAACCAGTGCTTCACTCTTTGGAGGAACTAGGATTGGAACAGGTGAGACACTCCAACCACGGGAACAGAACTACAAAACCCTACTCCACTTTCCATCCAAGAGAAGAAAAACAGAGGACAGGAGTCCATCCTGTTTCGCCCTAAGTGGCAGTACAGCTCCTTAGAGAATGTTACAGAGCAGAAGTGCTAGGACTAGTCGCATGCCATGTCTCTGCTCTCTTACTTACCTGGCCCACAGTCACTGACCTCACACTGACGTACAGAACCCATCTTCCCTCATCAGTGCCATACCTAAGAACCAGTTTGATAGATGGGAGAATAGGTAAAAACACTAAAGTATTGGCTAAGAGTGGGTGGGACATAAATGACAGAGCAGGTGGGAAGGAGAGGGTGTATGTCAAAATTCAATGTTCTATATTTAATTGTAGGAAGAACACTAATTTAAAAGAAATTACTGCCAAAATGGTTCTAAGGAATCCATGAAATTAACCACTCCCTCACTGGCCTAGGGCCAAATTAAATTTGGGCTATTCATTACAGAAATAAAACAAAATTACTCCAGCCTGGCCAATCTACATCCCATACCAGACTGTTTCTGGCCAATTAATATTTCTGGCCAATGTAATGCCAGACAGGACCAATTAATGCTGCAAGGCACAGGCATATGTAGTTCCACACTTGAATTAAACCATGCTCTCTTCAGCCCATCTAGCACTTTATTTCCAGGCAGCACACATCAGTTCTCATCCTCTCACCTTCACAGTGGCACACCATGCTACTGGCCAGCTGTTTTTCTCTTAAAACACTCAATACTTCGACTCACTGTACTTTTTGGCCCTCTAACTTATCCTGGTGAAATGCAAACCAGTTGAGTTCTAAAAGGGTGTACATAGCAGAGAAGGAAAATTATTTACTAGCAGGTTTAATTCAAATGTGAGAAATACAATCTGCTAAGACTTTTTACTGCATCTTACAAAAAATACAGATAAATGCAGGTCGAGGATTATTCGCCAAAAAGTGTCTCAAATGTACTAGATAATCACAATCCACCTCCTACTGATCCCACCAAGAAGGTAAAATGAAAGATAAATTTCATTTTCTGCTACTTTAATTTTTAGATGACTCAGAAATAGTTTACAGAGTACACCAAACATTAGTTTACTGAGTAGAAAGTGGGAGACAGGACGTGATGGGTAGATATGTATTTTAATAAACTTTCAGGTCTATCTGAGTAGTTCCACAGAATTGTCTAGCCTCATCTGTATGAAATCTATTGGACAGATAACCTGATATAAGCCTGTCACTGTGAGAAACACAAGGCAAAAATTGCAGCAAAACCTACACAACCTCAGTACTTAAACCACAGACACTTGAAAGAGGCCCTCAAACAGAGGAACCCAACAGAAAAACTATCCTATCCTATATAAATAAAAGACTAATATGCAAATCAACTGAACAGCAGTAAGACTTGTTGATATGATGCACACTGACCACCAGGGGGCAGACGCTCAACGCCGAAGTTGCCCCCTGGTGGTCAGTGCGCTCGCTCCCACAGGGGGAGTGCGGCTCAGCCAGCAGCCAGGCTCACGGCTGGCTGGCGAGCACAGCGCCCTGGCAGGAGTCTCTCCGGCCTCCACAGCAGCGCTGAGGATGTCCGACTGAGCTTAGGCCTGCTCCTCCCTCCTTGTCCACCCCTCCCCAGTCAGTCAGACATCCCCTGGGCTCCCAGATTGAGAGAAGGTGCAGGCCGAGCTGAGGGACCCAAGAGCAGGAATTTTATGTACCGGGCCTCTAGTCTCATAATAAAGGTAGACAATACTTTGTAAAAGTAAAAGCACCTTCCTTATAAATTAAAAAATGCTTTATTGCACATTCCTGGATCTGTAAAACCATAAAAACAAAGTTCCATCAAAAGAATACATGATACATTATGCTGTATAAGGATAATGATAACTCCACATCCATTTTCAAATCTATATGCTGTCAAAAGTCCCAAAGTAATTACTTTGTACAAAAGTAAATAAAAATAAGTTGGTGACATGAAGTAAGCTTGCCTTTATGTCTGCGTCTTCATTGTTTTTATTTATATAACAAATATATGAAATACAAAATATCTGACTATCGAATGTCCATTACTAAAATAATTTAAAAACTCTGCAACATTGGTTTCTCATTCTCATTTAGAGAAACGAATGAGCAGTGCAGAATTTTCACTGAGGCTAAAAGCTTCATGTTAAAGAAACTAAATATAGTTTATTACCTAACTTATTCAATACCTTATGTTAAATGAACTAACTGGCCCTAACCAGTTTGGCTCAGTGGATAGAACATCGGCCTGTGGACTCTAAGGTTCCAGGTTAGATTCTGGTGGTGGCAGCGGGGGGGAGGGGGGGGGGGTGGGGAGAGGCATGTACCTTGGTTGTGGGCACATACCCAGTGAGGAGTGTGCAAGAGGCAGCTAATCAATGTTTCTAACTTTCTATCCCTCTTCCTTCCTCTGTAAAAAAATAAATAAAAAATAAAAAAATCAATAATATATATTTAAAAATGAACTAATTGTAAAAAGTAAAACAACATTTAGCAAAAGCATTTAAACTTTTGCTCCCGTGAACCCTGACCAGTGTGGTTCAATTGGTTCAGTGTTGTGCCATGCACTGAGAGTTTGTTACAGGTTCAATTCCCAGTAGGGGGGGTGGAGACAGCAAAATGGTGGTTCTGTTTTCATCAATGTTCCTCTCTCTCTACTCTAAAATCAATAAAAACATATTAAAAAAAGACTATGCTCCTATTAAAACAAATATTTGTTAATTATGTTATTTATGCTGTTATGAGGTCTTAAGTATTTGTAAAACATATTAATAATGATGATTGGTATTATAATAAAGCTACAAGTATTTCAGTAAACCTTCCTAATCTTAAAAAGAATTGTTCTGATTGTCATGCACTTCCTGTGCATTTATCAGAGTATATTTTCTAAGAATTTGCTCACAGAATCTTGTGTTTTGATTTTAGCTGAAATCACAAACCTGCACTTCTGCAAATAGTTGGACACAGAAATCAGCCTAAGGAGCTAAGTAGCTCTATTTGCCCCAAATATACCATTTTTAATTATGCAAAAACAGCTATAAAATATGTATACTCATTTAGATATTTTATGCTCTGAAACTTTTAGATGTACCTGCTTTACACAACTGACTCCTGACATTAAAACAGATGTTCAATATTACTCATATAAATAGGAGTAAGTACTATGCTCTGATAATGAAGTTAGAGACAGAAAACAGCTCTTATTAATCATATTTGTTTCTAAATCTTTAAATTGCAGGCAAGCAACCATACTTAGTTTTACTGCAAGCATGTAAGAAACAAAAGATTGGTCCTAGAATGTTTGGCTCATTTGGACAGACTGTCGGCCTGCGGACTGAAGGGCCCCAGGTTCAATTCCCATCAAGGGCACATGCCCAGGTTGCAGAATCCCCAGTAGGGGACATGCAGGAAGCAGCTGATCAATAATTCTGTCATCATTTTTGTTTCTTTTTCTCTCCCTCTCCTTTCCTCTCTGAAATCAATAAAAATTATTTAAAAAGAAACAAATCAAACAATTTTTTTTGTTCATCTCATCCAAGTATATTTTTTCATTGATTTTTTTTTTTTTTTTTTTTTTTTTTGAGCGAGTGGAAAGGAGGAGAGACAGAAACATCTATATGAAAGAGATACATCAGCTGCCTCCTGCATGTGCCCTGATCAGGGGCTAGTGATAGAGCCTGCAGTTGAGGTATGTGCCCTTGACTGGAATCCAACTCGATACCCTTCAAGTCACTTGGGCTGACACTCTAACCACAGAGCAACAGGCTAAGGCAGAAATCTAAAAAAACATGCATTCTATTGATTTTAGAG